CCACGGCACGGAGCCGGCGCCACGACCCCGGGCACACGGCCCGCGCCACCTCCACTGCGGGCGCCTCAGCCCGCGCCCTCAGGACACACTGAGGGTCTTCTCTTATGTACTGAGCCTCTGGTGCTCTAGCTGAACGCTATTTTCAGGTTCTTTTAATGCAGTGAGATGTGTTTGTGGGTGCTTTAATTAGCAGATTGACATAAACAGGCATCTAAGACTGGAATTATTCATTAGGAGTTGGGTGCCTAATTTCCTTAGATACTTCTGAAAATCTCACCCCATCATGTTTAATTAAAAATGTCAGATTATATCAATACTCAGATGTGTCTGCTGTTGGTCTCCCGAGAAGATTTCCAAAATCTACTTCTCATTCCATCTGTTCCTGACAGAGGAAGGAGTGACTTGGCCCATTCTTGAACCAAAACATCAGCAAATAATCTTAAAATACTACACACTGCAAATGATATTAATCTCCTGAGCAGGGCTTCTGAAACCTTACTTGGATGTGCATATTCACAGGTATCTTGTAAGCTAAGAAATGGGAAAGCAGGCTACCTAGGAACACTAAAGGAGAGCACACTTACATGTAACCTGCTTTAGACAACAATTTCAGGATTTGCTATGAAATCTGCTTATCTTAGAGGACAGGAGGGCCGTGGAGCACATCCTTTTAAGAATGACTTTAAAAATCACACACACACACACACACCTCTCCACCAGCATACACATATGCACACAGACATTCAAGTAGCCTCACAACATTCACTTTGACAGACATCCATAAGGACAAACTCTTTAGCACAGAAGTTTGGTTTAGGTGAGAAACTGGGGAGTAGGCTGGAATTCACCACATTCTTCCTCAAAAGTTCCTTTATCCTCCTGCTTGTGTTTCGTACCCCAGTAAGTAACAATCTCATTCCTCAAGTACACCAGATCAGATTTTTTTTGTTTTGGTACTCAGCATCTCCTTTCTTCCTGGAAATGCCACAGGTTTTCCAGATCTGCCAGTTCAGTAGCATCAGAATTCAGGGACATATTTAATCCCCATCATTCAAGAGTATCAGATCTCTTGGTAAATCTTGGGCAGTTTTATGATAAGAAATGATGCACTGGCACTAGGAATCAAGAAGTGTGCACGGCTGAGCAACATCTAATTTTTCTATGTATGCTACTCTGCCTTTCCTCCCATTTTGTTGGGTTTTTTTAGTAGCATAAGTAATTTTACGAAGTGACAGTTAAAAAAAACACCCAACACATCAGATCAGTTCTCAGTCATCTTGAAGGCCTACATTTTATCCCTCAAATGTTTTAAAGTTCAGCTGTACTTACTCTGGGAACAGGGGATGTCTGAGTGCCTTTCCTCTGGCCACTTGTCTCAGGCGTTAGGTCTCGGTGGTCTACCTGAATGTGGCTCTCTAGGTCTTCAGCGCTTTCAAATTTGACACTACACTCTGGACACCTCAGACTGCCACATGGTCTCTCATTCACCTCCTGTGGAGTCAAGCTCGAAGACTGTCCATTGGTGCTCCTGGTCATGCATCCGGCGCACAGGCCATAGGGAAGGCCGTTCACATCCAACTTTACCAAGTCCTGCTTGTTCCGGAACTCCTTCAGGCACAACGCACACTTGTAGAGTTTTTGCAAGGCCTGGCCATTGGGCGACGAGGTTGCAGAGTTGCCTGCCAATTTCTGCATATGAAACGTCCCATGAATTTTCAGCTCAAGGGTAGAGGTGACTGTCTGCATGCAGACAACACAGCGAAACCCAGTGAGGGAGTTTCTGAGATCTGGATGCATCTGACAGTGCTCGATAAATTCCTCCTCGCTCTGCAGTGGCATTTTGCAGATCCGACACGTCCCTGTATCCAAACTCTTGCTGTGAGTGACTTTGTGCTCCGTCAAGGTCAAGAGTGATGGGAAGCGCTCCCCACAGATGGGGCACATGTAGTGCTTAGCTGGGCCTCGATGGGTCTGCATGTGCTCTCTCAGGCCATTTTCTGAGAAAAAGGTCCGTGAGCAGATATTACACTTGTGGCTACCTTTGATGAATTCTGCTTTTTTCCTAGAACAGTCATCCTCCCCAGGCCTGATGTTATGATCTCTTAAACGGTGGTTCTGCAAGAGGACCTCCATAGTGTAGGCAGCCCCACAAATGTCACAGCCATACATGGGCTCAGAAGCATCTACATCATCCTCACTGGCTTCATGGCTGTTGGAAGTATCTGGATTCTTCATTAACATGTTCTGGATGTCTCCCCCTTCTGTTTTCTTACTGGTTGGGGTCATGCCATTAGCTGTACCATTCTCAGCGCTAGCATCAAAAACACAGTGTTTTTCCCGCAAGTGCTTTTCAAGCAAGATGATGGCATGAAAAGCTTTGCTACAGAACTTGCAGTTGTACTTTTTGCTGTGGGTTGTGATGTGGCACTGCAGTTCTACCTCTGTGCTAAAGGTCTCACCACAGAAGATGCATTTGTGAGACTTTGATGGATTCCCCAAGTGACTGTGCTTCACATGGATCTGGAGATCCACCTCCTTCCTAAAATCCCAGTTACAAGCTGTGCAGCGATACATCTTCTTTTCATTGCTATGTTTGACTGCCAGATGCACTTGGATAGATACCTTGGAATCAAAAACTTCTTGGCAAAGGGTGCAGTGATACAACACAAAAGTATGCATGTCCAACAAATGCTTCTGCAAATCATCCACCGAAGAGAACTGTTTGTCACAGCTCTCACATACATAATGAGTTGAAGTTGTCATGTAATGTACAGTGAGATGTTGCAGAAGGGACTCCTGGGAATCAAAGTCTTCTTTACACTGAGGGCAAGACTGTTTCCTCAACAGCAACTCCAAATGCAACTTTAAATGGGTCTGAAAACTTTCAAAATTTGAGAACTTCAGATCACACTGATTACATGGGTATTCACCATTAGACACTGAGTTTACGCTAGCAGAAAGCCGTTGCCTTTTAGGGGAAGAGACTTCAACATCAGAAGAAACTGGACTCTGCTCTGCTTTTGACTTCTTATTGTGTGCCAGAGGAATGTTCTTGTGGTTTTCTTTAATATGCTTTGTAAGCTTCAGGATGGAGCCAAAAATGGGGGAGTTTGTGCAATAAGGGCATGAATAAACTTCCATAAAAGACTGTGTTGGCTGAATGACAGGGGAATCCAATTTTGAATTTCCTACATTGCAGTGAGTCTGCTGAATATGCTCAGTCAAGGTCGCTTCAGTCAGAAAGCCCATGGAGCACTGGTTACAGAAGAAAGCGTTGTTGCCATCTTGAGGGGTAGCGTTTGGGCCACAGTGAGTAATACGGATGTGCTCTTGTAAGCTATTGATATCTGCAAACATCTCCGGGCAGTAGTTACAGTGAAAGGCAGAAATGTTGCTAAACTGCATCATGGGATATGCATGGTTTTTGTGCACCTTTCTCACATGTTCATTCAAGTTGTACAGTGTAGGCATGGAATCAAGGCAGATCTGGCACGTGTGGCTTTGCTGAGGTTTGTCTGCATGAATGGTCTTCAGGTGGATCTCCAGAACAGCAAGGCTGTTGAAGTCACGCTTTGAGCAGTAGGGGCAGCTGTAAGTAACTTTAGACCAGTTCTGGCCATCCTCTCTGTCCACAGACCTGATTTTCTTTTGTCCTCTCAAAGGCTTTAATGTCGAATCTGGGGTGGAACCTCTTTCCACCGATGCGCTGGAGTCGGGCGTCGCACTGCTCATGGACGCCACGCTCCCCAAGACTGGGTCAGGGCTGATGCTGTGATTGCTGGAGTCAGGCTGTCTGTGGCTGTCCAAGTGGCAATAGACTTCCTCCACTGAAGAAAACTGCTCCGGGCACATAGGGCACTTGTGTTTTTTGTTGGCATGGGCTTGATGAATGTGTGAGAGCAGCGAGTTTTCGTCTGCAAATACTTCAGGGCAATGAATACACTGCAAATCTGCCTTCTCGGAAAGCTGTGGGTGGCGTGTCATTACGTGCTTCTCCAAATCTTCAGTCTGACTGAATGTCTCTTCACAGTAATCACACATAAAATCATCCTTCTTCACCTCTTTCTCAGTCTTTGCCATATGTTCCTTGTTCTTTTTATGAGCTTGCATGTGACTCTGCAATGAGCTGGTAGATGAAAACCCACGTTTACACACAGTGCACTTGAATGGTTTGCTGGAGCTGTGGGTTTTCAGGTGGATTTTGAGGTGGTCGCTGCGAGAGAACGCAGCCTCGCACTCATGGCAATGGTACTTTTTATCCCCGGTGTGAAGCTTTATGTGGCGATCCCTACTTCTCTTGTGCTTAAAAAGCCGGCTACAGTAGGTGCATTTGAAAGGTAGTTTGTCACTGTGGATCTGCTCGTGCCTTTTAAGGTAGCTCAGGCGAATGAAGGACTTATCACAAAACTGACAGGGATACGGCAGGCCAGTCCCCCCTTCCTCCTCCCCGATGCCGAGATCACACCCATCTCCTATCATCTGAGTGGGTGATGCAACATCTTTGCTGGAGGGAGATGAAGCCACCCAGGAGAGTTGTGGGTCGTCATCACCATCTGTAATGGGAAAGCAGAAAGGAGATTAAAAACAATTCCCAGTGCATCTGTGAAATAAGGACAAAGCTCTCAACAACACTATGGGCTTCTGCTACTATAGCATTAAAAAAAAAAAATTTCTACCCAAAAAAAAAGATTGCTTGAATTTCAAAGGAGATTTGAGAAAGAGAAAGAATATTTTACACATAATTCACAAATATGCTAACATACAGCATATAATAGAAGGCATTTTCCTTTAGCAGGTTTAACACCTGCTCGCTGTACTGTAAAGCAATAAACAATGAATAAAGAAACCAAAACACAACATGCAATGAAGCAATACAAACATTTTCCAAAGCTACAATGTTAAGTGATCACCCGTGATTTAGTGGGTCTTTGTAAATGCTACATCAAGATGATTTTAAGTAATGTCTCCACTAAACAAAATCCTACAGCTCTATCTCAAAACTGTAACAGAATGAAAAGCTGCTCAAAAGCAAAGTCAAACACCTAGGTGAAATAAAAGCATCAGATTTGAAACAGCTCAAGAAAATCAGAGAAGAGATTTGTGCCATTACCACATTCATTCATATGAAAGGTAACGTTGCCTGTTTGGCACAAAACCAAACAAAGTAAAAAAGCCCAGAAAATCACCATTTGAGACCTCAAGACATCACAAAAGAATCAGTTTCAGGATAAACCAACAATGGCCCAGCCTCTGTATTAATAAATATTTCCTTTGCTCAATATGAGGCTTTGGAAAATATTTTATAATTTCGTATGAGCATAAAGAAACACAGCACCAACTCCAGCAGCAAAACAGTCATTTTAGGAAAAATACATAAAATGTTGGCAGCTTTCATAAACAGAATTGTTAACAAGAAACAGAAGAGAGCGAGTTCAAATATTCCAATAAATGAGGAGATGTTGAGCAAAGCAAAAATGCCACTGGTCTGATATAAAACTGAACCATGGAATGAAGCAAAAATAAAATCCATGTAAATGAGGGAAGGTGCTGACCACATATAAGTTTGGAGATTCAAACAAGGAACCGGTTCTCCAGATACATTGTCCTTATAAAACATTTAATGTTCCTACTTCAGCTCTTACTAAAACAAACCAATAAAAAAATCCCCAACTGTGCGTGGTAGGCTGCCACACGCGCACTCCTTGTGCTTGCCAACTGCAGAGTCACCAGGCGGAGAAGCGCACATGTACGGTGGAGAAGCTCTCAAAGAAAGGCTCAGCTAATGAGGATATCACCACCATAAGAGGCTAGCTCCTGTGGCACCGTTTGCTTTGCCGAAGAACTTTGAAAGAGAAAGAGGAGTCACCTTGGAAAAACTACACCGAACAATCACACACTGAACAACTTTTTCCACGCGACGGGGCTGCCCGTTTCACAGGAGGCGCGGGTCAGACGCCCGCTCCCCACGCCCTGTGCTCCCCAGGGCGCTCCGCTCCCCCCTGTGACTGAACCTCCTGCTCCAGAGCGATGCTGGACACCGGGGACGCGCTTCCTCCCACTCCCAAAATGCACCCCAGCTCATCAGCGAGCGCCCACGCTTCTAAGATGATCAAGGTCTTTTTGCTCAACTAACTCCTCTGAGCCTGGCCGAGCCCGAGGCTCAAAAGCAGGCAACGAGCTCCTGATTTTCACATCAACTTTTCTGAGGCTTCATTCCCCCGACTGCAA